TATATATATATATATATATATATATATATATATAATTTACATTTATACAAGGTTAGAAATGAGAAGCGAGAGAGAGAGAAAAAGAAATATTTTAGTATCAGATTAAAAAAATAAAAAACACAGAAATCAATTTTGTTTACGTACCCTTCCTCCGCGAGGTTAATGATTTTTGAGGTACTTAGACATTACGCTCTTGAAACTTTCCCGCCCTACAATTTTTTTGTTTGTTAAATGCAAGCAAAGGTGGTGAAAGTTACCCTTATAATTAACAGGTTAATTATATTTAGCAAGGTTAATGGCGATCAAAACTTGCATGAATTATTAAAGGATAATAATTATCTCAAATTAAAGTTTTTTTTAAAACTTAATCCCTTCACATTTTACTCGCAGAATCTTCACCGTATAAATTATAATTATAGAAGAAACTAAAATATTGGTGTTTTTAACTGTTCATTTACGGTAACTCCTCTATCATTTCATTACTAATCATAGCCAGTTATTTGCTTTATAGGTCCTAGAAATCCTTTGCATTAGGTCACAGATCTTTGTTTCTCTGAAGCGAAAATGTTTGATCTTCATATTTATTTGAAGCGTCTGTATGCGGGAGTAGCAGTTAAGAATTGCTGGATATCATGTCAGAATTTCCCCATCACAGCTACAGAGCCCTTGGGTGGTGAATAAGGAATCCATGCCGAGGCTTCTTCTTCTTCTTCTTCTTGTTTTTTTTTTGAAAATGAGAACGCACTGAGGTCTAAAGACGAAAATGAAAGGTGGTAGAGGCGCAAGAAGAGAAGAAAAATTAAAAACTCAGAGGCCCTCCCCACTAAGGGAACAAACATCCTTCGTTCTCAATATCCTGCTGCTAAACACTCGAGAAAGAATTCACTTAGTGCAACGATTCTCCATTGTATATCAAAGAAAGTGTGCTTAGCTATTAATTACATGATCTATGCTTGCATCATGCTTAAGTAATTATGTAACCATTGTTGCTTTTCATTGCTTGGCTTTGGCAATACTTGTTCATCCTCCCTTCTATCTGCCATTTTTTACCATATTTTTTGAGTTTTCCAAGGGCACTGTTTCCTTTTTTTCTGATAATTCACAGTTATTTATTTTACCTTCATACATATTATTGTTTTAAAACCCTTCTCAGTTTGATAAGTGAATTCAGAATTGAAAATAAACCGGCTTTAGAAAAATAAAAGAAGGTAAAATTAAAACTCGGATTATTTCATAATTCTTTTTTAATAATCACCAAAATTAGTTTTGTTAGTGAGAACTTCTTTATATATTTATTTTTTGTTCTATTATTATCAATCCACTAATCACTCCCTGCACTTCAGAAAAGATGGTGTTCCATTTAGAAAATGGCAGGATGTATAATTATTTGCACCAAGTATGTAAAAAACAACTTAGCTTTTGACTAATACCCAATCCCTTTTCTTTTTCTCCTTTTTTGAGGATGACTGATTATATACCACCTACTGTCTTTTACTCTTTAACCATGGTGTGGTCCTAATGCCAATTGGAATTCCCTAAGACTACATGAATGTGGATGTTAATGGGAGCATGCACACGTATAATTAACCAGTTTAACCTAAAAAAAGCAAAAAAAAAATAAAAATAAAAATCAATTCTTGAGTTTTGAGAACCAAAATCTATGGACATATCAAGCAATTACCACTTTGCTTAGTCATTAAATTATACCATAATCTAATTAGTTAGTTAGGTTTTTTTTTTTTTGAAAAAAATAATAATCATATCCCCTCTTATCATGTGCTTTATATTACATATATGAGATCTCAGGAACTTGACTCCACATAAAATCGAAAGGGTAAACTGAAGAAAAAGGAAAACAAAAGGTCTATAGATGCACCTGGATGCTGATCTGCATTCAGGAGTTACTAACTAGTGAAGTTTTATTGCAAGTAATGATTTCCCATTTGAAAAGGAGATGGCTGCTTTTTTCTCCTAGCTGCTAAATTCCTACAGATTCCAATTAGCTTGCACATATCTGGAAGACCTTGTCTTCTGGATCATTTCATGCTTTTTACACAAAGCAAGCATCCGATCCCTCAGTGTATTTTATTTCCCTTCATGTCTTTCCACCCGCTCAGATTCATCCTTGGAATCAATTTGATTGGTGTCATTCTCTTACCATCATTTCGACCACCTCCTGATCATATCCACACCTTTTTCTTTACTATATAGAATATTCAAAGACCAATATATGCAACAATAGCAGCATATTCTCATAGTCAATTACCCTGAAAGGCATGCATTAATCCCAATTCAATCCTCATAATTCAGAACCTTGACCAATTTCCTCTAGCTCTATTTTTACCATGCGTTCAAGTTTTTGAACAACCTCTCTCATGCTAGGCCTGTCTGCTTTCTTCTCCCTTAGACAGTCAAAGGCGAGCTCTGAGAAGAGTTGTACACTGTTCAGTACATTACTTGATGGCTCCGTGCCAATTAGCCGTTGATCGACAACCTCCATGACTGCACCATTTTTGGCTGCTTGGCTCACATAGAGAGCTAGGTTTACATCATCTTGATCTCGTGAGAAGTCGATGGGCTTTTGAGAAGTGAGAAGCTCTAACAGCACAACCCCATAACTATAAACATCACTTTTGTCAGTTAACTGGTAGTTTCGATAGTACTCAGGATCCAAGTAACCTAATGTTCCTTGAGCACAAGTCGAAACATGGCTCAGCCCTGGACGAGCCAGTCTAGAGAGCCCAAAATCTGAGACTTTAGCGTTGAATTCGTCATCTAGTAGTATATTTGTTGACTTGACATCTCTGTGATAGATGGGAGTGTAGGTCCCGGAATGCAAATAGGCCAACGCTTCAGCAGTTTGCCAAGCAATTCTCAACCTCTCTCTCCAACCCAGAAAGGTACTGGAGCAATTTCCATGTAAATGATCATAGAGAGTCCCCTTAGAAATGTATTCATAGATCATCAAAGGTTGCTCACCTTCCACACAGCAACCCAAGAGTCTAACCAAGTTCTTGTGATTGACTTGTGAAAGTATTCCAACTTCATTGAGTATTTGTTGGGTGCTTTTGAGGTTTCCGACTTTAGCTGACTTAACAGCCACCACAGTTCCATCTTGAAGCTCACCTTTATAGACCTGTCCAAATCCACCACTCCCCAAAATCCTATCTTGCGAGAAACCATTTGTTGCTTTCTTCACGTCTTTCAACTGGAACATCCTAGCATTTTTCCCACTATCACTTGATTTTAACATGTCTTCTCTTGCCTTGTCTAACTTTGCTTGATTAAAACGTTTTGAGGACTTGCGTACAGTAATTAAAACTATTATTGTTCCAAAAGAGATAAAGCAGATTACCCCTATTGAAACCTCTAAACCCAGGAGGCCTGCAGCTTTCGATTTATGCTTGTTTCTGAAGCAAGTTCCACGAACATGGTCCCAGTAATAGCCCCTGTTACAAAGGCAGCGAGAGAGGCCACTCCTTCCAGCAGGTAAACACTTTGAGGGTCCAGAACAATCAAGCTTGGAGTTACAGATAGGTTCTGGCGGAGAAGCCCATTGAATTTCTACTCCCTCTTCCCATTGACTAGCAGGCTTTTCAGGATCCAAACTTAGGATGCTTCTAAAGGCTTTACAACCTGAATTGTGAAGCCGAATCCTGTATGCTGAGGGCATTCCGCCTGCAACAAAGGTGCAGCAGGGTCTGAGATCAGGACTTCCGGCACACTTAAGCGCTCGGTTTTTGTCAACGTGTCCTGAGCTCTCCAAGTAGCGATGACAGAGACTAGAAGGAGTGCAATTGAGAGGAGTGAGTAAGAGCCGAGGTGAACAGTTGTAAAGAAAGATAGTGTTAGAGAAAGTGAGATTAAAAGGGAGTGTCTGGTTTAATCGCAGGCCCTCGCTCACCACCATGTCTTGAGTAACACATGCGCTAGACGCCGACACCCATGGTGATGGTTGCACCACCATGCGCTGGAATGAGGCCATGATCCTCAGTACAAGGTAAGAACTTCCATTCATGGCATCAAAATAAAGTTTCTGAGAATGGGAATCGCAGCGAAGATGATAGTTTGGATCACCACAGGTTGACTTTGTGCTCAAAGGATATGGAACTTGCATTGAACCACAGTTGGGACAAGTCTTCTGAGAAGAACAAAAACAACCAAGGAGAAGCAGGAAACAGAAACAGCTAACAACGAAATTAGGAGGGGTTGCAATATGTTGATCAGCTGTGATCATCTTTTTTGAGCGTGGAGATGAATTGAAGAGCTGGAATCAGAGAAGTTTTGGTACAAGGAGGAAGGTAGGATTGAGGCTAAATAAATAGAAGGCGAAGAAAAAGAACAGAATAAAGTGGTTATGAAACGACAATTGAATCTATGTGCAAAACACATCAACTTTATAAATTTATTGGACTGTTTGATTCCTCCTATGATGTGTTGCGTAGTAGGTTTGGAATTTTCTAGCCTTTTATGCTTCTATATAATGAAAGCTTTCGCTAGAAAAAGGTTCCATATTATAGTCTTGTTGCCCTTCACATTTTTTTCTTCTCATCATTCTTTCAATTTCAAATGGTCCAGCACTATAATATTTAATTAAACTAGAAATTCCACCACATTTTTATTACCTTAATTAGCCATATGCGAACACAAGTACTAACCGACCCGCACAACATGGAAAAACTACAGAACGGTTACATACTTCAACACAATCTTGTAAGGAACGGGTCAATTTAGTTTCATAGGAGATTTTCCCTAAAGAAAATGTTAGAATGCTAGAAATATATATTGTTTACCATAAGTTAGCTATATTGCTTCTTCTTCTTCTTTCGCATTTCAATATAACTAAATTAGAGAACTAATTTTCTATAGGGAAAATCTCAATTTACATTCAAACCTGTATATTCGTTCTCGATTTTGATCCTAAACTTATAAATTTTATCAATGAGGTCCCAAATGTTTCCTACATTTCTCAATCATGTCCTTTTATCAATTTCTTTTAAGAGTTTATGTCCAATGTACATATTTTACTCACCAAAGTGGCACTAATTTAAAGAAAATCTGACATAAAAGTTAATGAAAATTAGTTTTTTCAGTATAATCTATATATTTATGCACTAAAACAATATTAATTTAATAAAAATTGAACCTTACGATTTTGAAACACTTAAACTTATTTAAGAATGAGTATATAGGTTTTGGACTAATATGACAAATATTGGTATGGTGTTTACATATATATAGTATAATCCCTATATCATTTACTGCGTTGTGTTACGGGTTGAATTACATTTTTTTGGACTAAAAAAAACTCTAGTGTTTTTAATGTATTTTTTAGTAGAATAGTAAATTTAAATTATATAAAGATTGACCTGATATGACTTAGTCAACTTGGTAGGTCCACAACTAAACCGACAACTAAGAAAAATATAGTTTAACTAAAAAAATTAAGATATTTTTTAAAAAAATATTAAAACAACAACATTTTAGATCGATTCAAATTAACTTGGATTGACTTATAAAATCCGCTACTTAGTTCCTAAAACCCTGATAATTCTATAGAAAAGAAGTATTTTTTTAATTAAATCTAATTTTCAATCAACCCAATATTGAATAATGAAATTAAAAACAAAATTCAACTAAAAAGAAGTTGAGTTAACCCTGGTTAACCTGTCAAACCTAGGTCATGAGATCATGATAATCCTATAGAAAGAAAATCAAAAGAAATTATGAAACTCAATAATCATTTAACCTAATGTTGAAGAACAATTTTTTTTTTAAATTGATTAAAAAGAGGACACAAGAAACCACTCGAATCAACCTGCTAAACCTGTGACTTAGGTTATGAGACCGAGATAGCCTTATAGAACATAAATAAAAAAAATTTATAAAGTCTAATTCACAATCAACTCAATATTAAAGGATAAAATTGAAAAAAATATCAACTAAAAAAAAAGAAAAAAAAAACTAAGTCAGCCGGATTAACTCACGTGAGTCATAAGACCGTAGGGGTGTAAAAAAAAACCGAGTAACCAAAAAAACCAAGAAAACCGATGAAAAATTAACCGAAAAAACCAAATCGAGATAAAAAACCGATTAAACCGATTACTAAAATCAGAAATCTTTCTGGTTCAGTTTAGTTTTGGTTTTGCCACTGAAACCAGTGAACCGCACCAGTCCACCCATAAAATAAAGTTAAAAACGACCTAGTATAAATAGTACAGTAAACCTAAACCTAAACCTAAATGACATTATAATTTACTCCTGCAAAAAAAACGACCTAGTATAAATAGTACAGTAAACCTAAACCTAAATGATATTATAATTTACTCCTGAAGCTGTCGTATACACCAGACCAATTCTTCTTCCTTTCCCCTTCAATTTTCATCCTCTGCCTCTTGTCCCCTTCATCTGTCTCTTTTCTAACCGATTAATAAGTAAGCAACCCACACCTCTTGCCCCCTTCATTTGTCTCTTTGAGATGTGACTAGGTTGTTGACTATGAAAGATGCGTACTATAAAGAGGAAATGAGAGTTGTCGTTAATAATATGTTTTCAGAGGCCCACATGCTAGGTGAAGGGTGAGCTTTATGTGATATTCTGTTTCAGATATATAATGATTTTTCCTCAATTATTCTTTGTAAATTTCCAGAAGACAACCTTTCGACCATTTTTACAATGATTTCTATTCCAAGCTTTAAAAGAAACTTTAATAGGGTTAATGTTGTTGTCATGGTCTAATTCAGAATTGTTGGCCAAGCTGCTTCCACTAGAAAGAACTAGTGGATTTTCTCAAATGCTAGTAATGGAGGCTGGAATTCTGCTGCCTCTATTGGAGGTTAGGATATATTCCAGGTACTTCGTCCTTTACTTCCTCTTTACCATTCACTCCTGTGCTAGTTGTCATGAAAAATATTTTTCTTTGTTTTTCTTTTCTTTTTTAAATTGTCCAAAATTCTTGAATATTAGCTAACTAGTTTCTGTTTGCCTAAAAAATTTCTTTTCTTGTAGGATGATTCTGAAATTCATTGCTAATTTTCTTCTGGAATAAAGGTACTACATGTTGGAACGCAAAACTTTACTTTTATAACTCATTTTATTTTTATGATATTCCTCTTGAAATTCATTCAAGCTTTGTGTATCCCTTTTCTTCATCCAACACCCTGATCATTTATATTGACTATTAATTCCCATTTGCAAACAATTGCAGTAATCTTCGTAGAATCATAAGGACTGGTACAATTAAAAAAAACAAAAAAAAAACAACTTCTAAACCGGATTTTGTTTTTTCTTAAAAAACTGAATTTAACTTAACCAGACCGGTTCAATTTGAACCAGTTTCTGGTTCGGTTTGGTTAATTTTTAACAAGAATACTATAATTTGGTTTGGTTGGTTTTTTGGGTCTAAACCGAACCGAACCGAACCATGAACACCTTTAGACCGTGATGACATCATAGAAATCAAATAAAAAGAAGTATAAAACCTAATTCTCAATCAACCCAATATTGAAGGGCTAAATTGAAAAAGAAATAAAAAAATTAACCCAAATGAACCCGAGTTAATTTGTTTAACCTAAGTTAAGAGACTAGAATAACTCCATAGAAAGAAAATAATAATAAAAAGTTATAAAGTTCAATTTTCAATCAACTTATATTGAATGCTAAAATTGAGAAAACCTAGCTAACCCACAAAACTCACGACCCGAGTCATGAGACCATGATAATATCATAAAAAGCAAATTAAAAATAATAATGAAGCTCAATTTCAAACTAACCCAATGATGAAGCATGAAGTTGAGAAAAAAATTAATTACAAAAATAAATAAATCAAAGTCAACACAGTTAACCTGCAAAACTCACGACCCCGGTCATAAAACTATGAAAACTTCATAAAAAATTAATGTTGGAGGATAAAATTAAAAAAAAAATGTATGAAATTATATATCTTCTCTTTTCTTTTAAATTCATAGTTTGTTTTGGATATAGACTTAAACTCTTGTATTTATCTTAGTCTTCACCTGACATATAATCTTGCATCCAATAAGGTTTTCTTCTGTTCCTCCCTTAAATTGGATTTAAAGAACCTTCTTCATTCGATTCACCAGATGGAGAATTAAAATCTTTTCTTTCTACTTCTTCATTTTTAGCATTCACACCTTCTTCAAATTGATTTTGATTCTTGATTTCTTTCTCATCACCCCACTCTAATACATCAACTTCCTACTCATCATTACTTCTTCCCCACTCTTATTTTTTATTTCAACAAATAATGCATCCCTACTAATTACCATTTTCTTTGAAACTGGATTGTATAGCCTGTAGGCTTTTAACTCCTCACTTACACCCAATAAGATATATCTCTCACTTTTATCATCCAACTTCGATCTTCGATTGTATGGAATATAAACATGAGCGACACATCCAAATACTCTAAAATAATATACAGTAGGTATGTTACCACTCTAGGCCTCTTTAGGTGTTACCTTCTTCACAGCTAAGGTTGGACTCCGATTCAATATATGTATCGCCCAATTGACAGTTTCAGGCCAAAACTCCTTAGGAATTTATTTCTCTGATAGCATGCTACGTACCATGTTCATAACAGTGTAGTTTTTCCTCTCTGTCACCTCATTTTATTGGGATGTGTAAGAAGTAGTAAGCTGCTTAGCTATTCCATTTGCACCGTAAAACTAATTAAACTCCAACAAGGTGAATTCTCCATCTTTATTAGTATATAGACAAAAAATAAGATACACTTTGAACTTAAACACATCAAATGCCTCAGAATTTTCTGACAAGAAATAAAACCAGGTCTTCCTACTATAGTCATTAATAAAGTTAATTAAGTACCTTTTGTGGCTATGTGATTCAAGCTTTATGGGTCTGCAGATATCAGCATGAACCAATTAAAAATATTGTGAAGCTCTTCATAAACTCATTTTGAAAATTACTTTTCAGTGTTGCTTCCCCATCATTCAGTCAGAACACACCTTTCATGAAGCTTGGAGAATTGGTAGTCCTCTTACCATTTTTATATAAATAAGAGTTCTCAGTCCCTTGAAATTAAGATGTCTAAATCAAAAGTGCCATAAATACGAGTTATTTTCAGCCATAGTTTGAAAGCATGTTGTGGCTTGAGGCATCACTAAAGCCAACATAACAAACATCCTATTTGCTGACATTCTAGACTGCATAATTAATCCCTTTATTGGATGATAAATGTTGCACATCCCATTTCGAATTAGAATGGTGAGATCTTTTTCTTGTAGTTGGCCAACACTCAAAATATTATTTTTTAACTCAAGCACAAAGTAAACTTTAGTGACTACCTAAGTTATGCCACCCATTTAAAGTCTGATATTTCCTTT